AGTCTAAATAACGAAATAATAATTTATTTTCTAGCCCAGGTGCTACACTTATTCATATCCATCTCTCACGCGCTAAAATGCTGACCCTAACATAATCTTAGTGGATGAAAATCGCGGCAATGAGCAGATAAGAGTGTCAGAGTACCACCATACCACCTCTTTTAACATCTCTGTCGATTCTCACGGCAATCCGGCTTGCGGCACCTTTCTCGAGCACGCTCTCGGAGAAAATTTGAAGCATCGAAAGGAAGATTGAGAAGATAACCGGCAACGGCCAGTGCGAAGCGACGATACGCTCGCCAACAATAATAACGGGCTTCTAGTGCAAAGGGTTCAGGAGACGCTGCAAGCCAACGTCGAGTCTATACGTGACTGTAAATTGATATCGTTCTGGGAATCATCATTCAAGGCTTAGTTTCACCAGGTCGAGTCCACCTTCGCATGCAGCTATTTAGGCTCAAACCTGGGAAGGTATAACCTCACCATTGCCGCACTACGTCTCATCATCGATTTGAGTGCTACCAGACACAGATAGGTACCCAGTTGAACTCCCTCGCAGCTGATATATATGCGTCAGCTTGTCGGCACCTCAGTCCCGATGACGTCCTTTGAATCGGTCGTCTCGTTGCTGTCACGTTCGGTCGTGCGCTCGACGCAAACCTTAGAAGTCGAACCTCTCAAGCTGACAGCCGCCAACCTCTCACAGATTCAATGTACATGCGACGCATCTTGATGCTCAACATTGGGCCCAGTACACGTTCACACGGTCGCGCTGCTTGGTAGTCCGATGGAACAAGCTATGGAGGAAACGAATCACACTTACCGGTACATCATCGTTCACTGTATTCAGATACGATAGGACCTCCAATCTACAAGCGCATTCGCAAGATCTTCAAAAAGCTCGGCAGCAGTGAACGTGGCATCGTACGTCCCTCCTCCAGCCAGTGGATCAGCGCTTTGCATCTCGTATGATAGCAAGGCAGAGGGTTTCGAGCAACAGGGAATTATCGACATCATAGTACCTGTATGAAGCCGGAACGCTATCCACTGTTTGTCGTGGAGGAGTATGTGATGCATTGATGCCACTGAGGCAGGGTGTTTTCAACAATTGACCTGAAACGAGCTTTCTACCAGATCCCGATGGCCAAGGAGAACATCGATAAGATGACTGTCGCCAGACCCTTCGTTCTTTACGGATATTTGTGCTTATCACTCGGACTGCGCAACGCCACCCAAACCTTCCAGCGGTTCATGGACTCGTTCTTCTAAGACATATCTTTTGTGCAGTCGTACATCGACATCATCATTACCTCTAGAGATCACAACAAGCACTAGCAGGATCTCTACTTGTTTTTTGGGACGTTATGGAAGGCAGAACTCTGACTCAAGCTCTGTAAGTACGAACTTAGAAAGTTCTAGGTCAACTTTCTCGGTTACATGCTCTCGCCCGACAGATTCTGGCCTCCTGAACGCAAGGTGGGGAATATGGGAAAGTTCCCAAAGCCTACAACATCATAGGAGCTTCGCAGAACCCTGGATATGATGAATTATTACAGTCGCTATATATCGCACGCCTCGCACCTGCAGGTTTCACTGGACAACATGCTCAAGGGTGTGCCCAAATACAAGTGAGCTAAGCTTGATTGAGAACCGGCAGGTAAGGAAACTTTTGCCGGATGCAAGCAAACCCTGTACAAAGCCACCGTCGCCTCGTTCTTCTCGCTTACTGCACCTCTCTCTCTCTCTCTCTCTCTCTTTCTCTCTCTCTCTCAATAAATGTATCTGACGTGGCATTAAAAGCTGTCCTGGAGCAGCTAACCAACTTCCTGTGGTGTTCAGTCTCTTTTTACTCAAGAAAACTCACGGAGGAAGTACACACGTACGACTGCAAGCTGCTGGCTGTCTACGCTTCAGTGAAAACTTCAGTATCTTCCTGGTGGGTCGCAGCTTTATACTTAAGACTGATCATAAGCCTATCGTCTTTCTCGGAGACCAGTCGTCTCAAAAGGCATCGCTGCGACAAAAGAGGTACCTAGACTTAATGTTTTGAATATTCGGATATGCAGTACGTAATTTACGTAAATATGATCCCGACATATGACCTAGTTTAATATGCCACAATTTAACAGAACTTATTTTACGTTGTTCAGTTAACTCATCACTAGTTTTATTGTTTATATCATCAATTTCTGAATTTAATTGATCGTTTATATTGATGACTTATGTTTTTTACTATACGTAACAAATGGTTTTTGTTTAAGTCATTATCTTTTTATTTATTTGTTTATTTACAAATATAATCTGCAACGGGGTACGAATTGCAGCTATTATTTTAAATTGCTGAATTGAATCATTTGCTCACGAGGGCGGGGAAATTCGTCGAAGCCTCGTTCGCTGCTGCAGGTCTGTCTTCGCAGTAATACCTCGTTAAAAACGAGCGCTAAGAATCCACTTGCCAATATCACTGCAGAAAGATCGTTTTCTGAAAGGAGATGCAAAAATGTCCTCGATCGCATCGATAGCTCCCACGATTTTATTATATCGGCTCAGCGAGAAAATCTGTTATTAGCATAGGGCATTCAAATTATCGTAACGATTAAAAAAGAAAGATCGCACTTCACTGAAAGTTTAGCGAACAAAAACAAAAATACATGATATCCGGCAGTCTTGCGCGGCGCTAGGATAAAGAAACTTATTCTACGCGACGAATTTCAATCTAAGAACCACACGCTTTACAAGCATGCTATTTTCTCGAAAACAAGTAGTACTGATAATTCAGACATAAGTTAACAAAACGTAACAATCATAATTTCGTAAAAAGAAAAGATAGCTACTCTGATAAATAAACAACAAATTCAAAATTTTAACAAATTAATAATACCATGCACTAGCAAAGAATAACAAGTCTCAGATACATATATAAGTATTGAGAAAATACTGTAGCAAGTAGATTTTATTGCACGTAATGTGTTTGATAAATATCAGTTCCCTTACATATAATAGCAAAGCAACTCGAGTGACAGATGGTTTACAACTGTTGAATTTACAGTTCTTCGAAGTCTTCGAAAAGTTGATAGTATCAAAATCGTTGAAAGATTTTGCAGATAAATGGCAAATGGAGACGTAAGAGGTGTAATGACGACAATAAAGAGCTGCTAGAGAGTGTTACAGCGACATAAAAACTTAGCGTATATAAAGATTAGAATGCGAATGTCTGCATGCCATTTATTTATCGATTTTTAATTAATTACGTGTCACTGTGTGTCATAACGGTATTACTCTGTGGATAAATCTGGATTATTTTCTTATTATTCTTACTTTATCAATAAATATGTTTTTAATGTCTTTCATAGCTTTTTCTTCGTAATATTTTGTTATTTATTTCAGCAATATTCTCAATGTAATTTAGTTAATTAATTATTATTTAAGCAAAAATCAACATAAATAATCAGTATAAACATGAAAATAAGGCGTACAAGCCACCTAGGGTATGCCTGTCAATGTAAAATAAAATAAAATTTTTTCGATAAATTTCGATTTGATTTAGAAATTCGATCGATTTAGAAAAATAACATTTAGTGGCGTGCCTAAGTTTCTGGTAAAAAAAATCATTTAAAATTGAAAGTTTTGCAGCTTCGTCTAAAATGGTCGTAGAAGAATGCGCCAAACTCATTTTGAAGAATAAACCAATACCCTTCATATCCCGCCAATATTATTTTAATAAATTAAAAATTGTACTTATTAAGTTCAAAAAACAAATTTTTTTTATATTAAATCGGTTATAACTTTTGAACGGTTGAACAGATAGTAAAAATCGAAAGTGTAAAAGAAATGTAAAAAGGAAAGTGTTGTATATTTCTGTTATCTTTAAAATGAGCGCAACAGGATTCATTTTCATTGAGTCAATAAAAAGTTGCAACGCTTTTTGTAAAACAATTCCCAATTTTTCATCTTCGATTATCTCGGAAACCATGCACTGTAGAAAGAAACTCCAAAAATAGGTTATTTTTTAATGTAATTAGTTTATGATATCTGGATAACCAAGAATGATTATAAGAGCCATTCTGAGCCCGAATTCGGAATCAGCGCATGAAAATATATTAAATATACTATGTATGGTTTCAGGTTCTTGACTTCTGTAAAATTTTGTTGGCTTGTGTTATTCTACATTAAAAAACAACCTTTTTTTTCATTGGAGTTTCTTTCGACAGGGCATAGTTTCCGAGATAATCAAAGATGAAAAAAAGACATTGTTTTACAATAAAACATTGTAACTTTTTATCGGCTCAATGAAAATAAATCCTGTTGCACTCATTTTAAAGGTAACAGAAATATACAACTTTTACACTTACGATTTTTAAAATCTGCAGAGCTGTTCAAAAGTTATAACCGATTAAATATTAAAAAAAAATTTTTTTAAAGTAATATGTTTTTTTAACTTAATAAACACAATTTTTAATTTAATAAAAAAATACTGATGGGATATGAAGAGTATTGCTTTATTCTTTAAAATGAGCTTGTGCGCATTCTTCTACAACCATTTTAGACGGAGCTGCAAAACTTTCAATTTTAAATGATTTTTTTTTGGCCAGAAACTTATGAACGCCACTGTATAACGTTTTTTTATAAAATCACAAAACTTTTATAAGTTAAAGTTTATTTAGTCCTGAAACTATTTATACTTATTATAAATAATAATTATCGGTGCTTTTACAGAAGTTATTAAAAAATGTGTTGTAAACATCGATGCCTTGACGCGACGCTGTTCTACTGAATTACTTTTATAATTTTTTCCAATCAGTATGAAGCTTTACAATGTGATACACGTATTCATGAAAGATTGATATAGGTTGATAACAATGTGGTATTGAAACAATATAATTTTTCAAAATTTGTAACAAAATCATACTAACAATAATTACAAAATAAAAATTATCTATTTATTATAAATTCATGTGTCATCTGAGGGTAATTATAATGGCTATATCTTTGTATTACAGGTGATATGGAGATATTAGCCTATTTCTTTGGTCCCATTGGCGTGCTGTTGGTGATAAATCTATTATTTTTTATGGCAACCGCTCGAGAACTGACTTGTGGTCTCTGGAAAGGCGAGTTCGTAAAAAGCACTACCGAAAGGTAAGCAAATAATTTAGTATTCCCTCTCTCTCTATCTCTTTCTCTCTATCTCTTTCTCTATCTATCTATCTATCTATCTATCCATTGTGACGGTAAACGTCTTATTAGCGCTAACAGCCCAATCATGCGGCTGCCTGCGAGGGCAGCACCTACTGGTCGGGGAAAAAGTAATGAGGGAATTCGGCACGAGACGAGACGGAACGCGCGCGCATGAAAATGAACGAGTTGAAGAATAGAACCCGGACACTCAGCTGCTGCTAGTGACAAAAGAGAGTTTTCATCGAGTTTTCCAGAGTGCCGAGACGAACTGATTAGAGCAGAGATAAGCTGTGCCTTCGCCTGACGGAGACGAACGCGTGTAAGCGTGTGTGAGTGTGAGGTTTCGCCATCGAGGGCGAATCGAAAGCGAGAGCCGCTTGGTTACGGAAGCGGACTTCCCCGAGATTTGGTTGCGAACTTTTTCTTTCTCGTTCACCGTACGACTGCTAATAAGGTAAGCTGGCCAGCTATTTCGCGATTGCTATATAATTGCCGATAACTAATCTCTTGTACTTCATAAAAAGCGTGCATGTATTTACCCGGCGAACAATGAGCGGCGAGTGATCAGACACTGCATGTTAATGTCGCGCGCGCGCGCTTTGTAAACATAAACATGCGGGCCGAATACATTGTAGAAATAAGAGATAATAAACGATCTCGCATGTGATCTTAACTGTAATTTCGATGTTATTATTTCATGACAGTAGAAAGTTGGTTGACTGACACCCGTTCCCTCCTGCTCTCCGGTTTTGGAATTTAAACGTGTAGATAATCCCGCGCGCTCTTGGACGTGATCGCGCGCATAATTAAACAAACGGATATCAACCCCGTTACATGGCGCCCAACGTAAAATAACCTACAGCGTTTATGATTGTTCAAAACGCCGGTTCTAAACATTGACCTTGCGCTCAGTCAACCAGTGACTTAGGTGGCAATCAACGTGTTGCTGTGCATACTTTGAGTTAAAAGCCACATAGTAAACATCGCCTCTCTGTTAGTTAGCTTGCGAAGGACCGCCGCGACGATAATTTGTAAACAGTCGTTGTAAGCGCGTGCGAGTGCGACCGAACGACTCTTAGCCAAAGCGTAAACACCAATAAGTTTTGAAAGTTGCCGCAAATTAATAATCTTGTACCCGTTGGCCCGGGGAAAACTAACACCGGCAACGTTCAAACAAAAGAAACTCAAATTGATAGTTTTATTTGATATAGTGTTGTCTTAACGTAAATGTATTTTTTTTAATATTGCTAGCTACGGTTATTGGTGACTACGCAAATAGACGCTCGTTATAATATTTTAGATACTAACTAGTACATACGCGCTAACAAACAGTTAGTGCGCCTGATAGGCAGGATCATTATATTGCGCAATAGCGAGCAAAGAGTCTTTCGGTAAACACAACATTAAATACCCGTTGTTGAGACTATTACCGGCCAGTAAAGTCTAAATTTTTGCGTGTTTGCTTGTAAATATTAAATATAGCATTCGCACTCGCATCATCCGTCAAACAAGCGTGTAAATTTGAGCGAAAAATTAATTGTGGCATAACTAACAGATGACAATGGACTGCACTCAAAAAGAGGTCGAAGATTGGGCGTTGACGCTCCTAGACGAGGAAATAAACGAATACCTCGAAGTCGACAACCAACACAGCAATCCAGCAAGAAGGGCAGCCCTACGCTCGGAGCTCATAGTATACATATGCGTGGAACACACAGAATCCGAACAAGAAGGTGAACACCCGCTAGCCCATCTAATGCAAAGTGCAGAGGTGATATCGCGGATTCAGGAAACAGCGATAAATATCACAAACGTACTGGACGACGGCGAGAGTACTAGCAGTAATAAGTATATTGCTATAACGGCTAATGATAGTAGCCAGGTTCAACTCCCGCCGGCATTTGCGGTAATGAGCCAAGACCTCATTTTCCGGCCCAGAGAACATGAGAAGAAGCTCGAGCTGCTAGACTCGTTAAGAGTAAACGTGTCGAGTCTAACGAAAGTATTAGACCAGATATACAACAACTGCAGCAATGTTAAGAGCCAACTGGACGACCTATTGGACAGAATGAGCGGATTGGAAAATGCCGAAAACAGGAATGTACGACAAAATAATGTGAATAATTCCGGCGAAATGCGACAACAAGAAAACACGCGTAGGAGTGTAGCATTCCGAGATACCTTCACCTAACATCACGACACCAGGTTACCCCACAGTACTCCAGCTGTACCCGGACAGAGGCCCATGGGGGCCACCGGCAGGATCCCCCGCCGGACGCTCCCTTTCGGAGAGGGTGGACAGCATCAACTCAGTGAAATTAATGCTGAAGTGAATAACCACCCGCCGAGCATGTGGTCATCTCAGCAGACAACAAACTCTTGGTCGACTACAAGTGATGTTGGTCGCATTGTCCGAGGATGGAAACTGAAGTTTTCAGGAGAGGGCAATGCGAGTATTGACACCTTCCTGTCTAGGCTAGACAACTTGAGGAATGGCGCGGGACTCACGTAAGACGAGATGCTCCTAACGATATCGGAGCTACTCGTCGGTCCCGCCCTTACCTGGTGCGAGGCGATGAAGGAGGAATGGCTCTTCTACGCCAAATTCGAGATGGATGCAAGGGAATGGTTTGGGACCAGTGTGCAGCAGTAACAGCGTCTGATGAGGGAAATTCAGAGCCGATATCAGGGCCCCGACGAACCCATGAATGTTTACATCGCCAATACGATGGGCCTGATGAAGCGGCTGAACCCCCAAATGACGCCTGATTGCCAACTGGACCTGCTGCATACCAACCTTCTCCCGGATATTCACGGCCAAGTGCGGAGATCCGAAGTGAACTCTATAAGAACCCTGAATGCGCTGGCCATGGCGGCACAGAATAGCTTGCACCAGAGAAAGGCAGAACGGGTGGTACCTGATCCACAATCAACTCTGTACCCGGAGTTAGCGTACCACCCTCGCACCGATGGAAGCAAGGGCCGCAAGGGCAAAGTGGCATCAATGTCCAGTGATAAGCCGGAGGTCAGCGACATGTTGGACCGTATGGAGAAAGTGCTTGAGAAGGTGACGCACCACGTCGTCTATACACCGACGCCCTCGGGGGCGACACCTAGTCCGAGTCTAGAGGCAGTTGATGGCGAAAAGAAGACTCCACGCGCCGATCTGCTGAGCCAAGTGCTATTATCTCTCAAGGAGATATCTGAAGGGATGAAGCACAACCTCGTTGGGAAAAACTTGACCTCGGAAGACCGCACTAGGAAGCCGGAAGCTCCTCGAAGACGGGAGAGAGACTTCTCCAAGCCACTCAAGTGCATTGAGTGCGGGTTACTGGGGTACAACAAAAAGTACTGTCCCCAATGCAACAAAGGAAATGAGGAAAGGAGTAGTTGGGTGGGGCTGACCCCACTCCTTCATTCCCTAAAATAAACCCCGTAAACGAGATCTCGCGGCCTTCGCCAACACAGTCAGCACCGATAGTAGCGAGCGTGTTGAGTGACGAAAGCGAGAACTCCCCTGGTGGCGCCAATAATGAACGTGGCGGAAAAGTGAACGCGGAGAGAGAGGGTATTGACGTTAGTAATGCCCAAGACCCTAGACCGGCCGAGGTGATGGCGAATAGATCGCGCACGTCCTGGGGGGGGGGCGGCAGATAAACTGTTAAAGGATACCCCATAGAAACTCCGATCGTCCGAACGAAGGTCGTTCGAACGATAAGTGGCGTCACTTTACCACGCGAGCACAGTGGCTAGCCCTATGGTGTGCAAAGGGCAAGGCTGTGGCGCCGCCGAATCTGTTTCGCAATATTCCCCGGAACAGGAAACGCGCTGGTGGCTGCCGGTGAAAATGGGAGACTTCCAGATACGGGCTCTCTATGATCCGGGAGCTTCCACCACAGCCATGGGTAGTAATGTGCTGCAAATAGCGTTTGTGCTAGGCATCAGGTTAGATACCACCCACGCGGGTACGGCAGGACTACCAGATGGTCGTAAGTTAACGATCGTTGGTCACGCCATGTTGCCGTTCACCCTGGGGAAGAAGACAATGCCGACGAGGATAGCTATGCTCCCAACCCTCGTCGATAAATGTATCCTAGGAGTGAATTTTGTTAGACTGTTTAGAGCGGTACTTGACCCCGACGATAATACGTTGCTGTTCAAGAAATCACAATCCAAGATGAAGCTAGAGGTAGCTAGTTTAGAGGCGTGTCCGAGATTAGCTACGATCGGACTAGCCGAGGTGACAGCCTCCCAACAGGCGATATTGCAGAGGACCATCGGCGAGGCCTTATCGCAGGCCCCCGTGGGACTGGGATGTGCGGCAGGTATTGAACACGAGATTCGGGTCGGTGATACGAAACCGATTAAGCAGCGATACTATCCAGTATCACACAAGGTCGAGCAAGAAATGCATGGATTGGTAAGGGAGATGTTAGATCAAGGGGTGATCGAGCCAGCAGATAGCGGCTGGTCGAGCCCAGTGGTTATGATACGCAAGAAGGATGGCTCGTATCGATTCTGTATAGACTTCAGGAAGGTCAACAAGGTTTATGGAAGATATATTGAGGCGCTTACGAAACGTGCGCTATATCTCCACACTCGACCTCAGTAGTGCATATCACCAAATACCACTCAAACCCGAACATCGAACAATCACGGCCTTTACCGTACCCGGATTGGGGCATTTCCAGTTCGTACGAATGCCATTCGGTCTCTCGTACGTCGGCGCCACCTTCCAACGGTTAATAGACAGCGTGATCGGAACTTAGCTTGTCGATTTCGCCTTCGCTTGTTTGGATGATATCATCATAGTATCGTCCAAGGTCGAAGATCACCTGCAACATCTTAAAACCGTGTTGGATAGGTTATGTCGAGCCGGCCTCTCGATTAATCGAGAGAAGAGCGTCTTCTGTAAACCGGAGGCCAAATATCTAGGTTTGTTGATTAACCGCGAGGGTATC